ACGTCTGTCTATTTATCCATCTATTTATCTGTTTGTCAGTTTATCTGTCTATCTATAGATCTATTCGCTTGTGTATCTATCTATTTATCTGTCTGTCTGTCTGCCTGTCTATTTAACTACCTAGCTATATATCAATCTACTCGTGTGTTTATCTATATAGGTATCTATTGGTCTGCCTGGTTTAGTATCTATACCTACTTTTTCCACATCTTGAGCAAAAGTTAGAAATTTATCACTAGTTCTACAGATCGGTAAATAGTTGTACATGAATACATGAACAGCGATAAAGACTAAAACATGCAGAAATAAACTACACAACCCAATGAAAAAAGAAAAAGAAAAAATATATATATCTATATATATGTTGGTGTGTGGTGTGTGTGTAAAAAGAAGAGAAGAATTCCCGAAGAATCAGTTCTTTCAAAATGGATGTGTGTCCGAGGTGCATTTCTGGTTATTTTTAATGTTTTCCACTTTGTTTCGTGTGTACATTTGTGTATTGATATATGCCATATAAACACTGTACGCATATACACTTAGTACGCGCAACAGGACACACACACACACGCGCAAACCACACTCGCGCGCATACACACACACAGCACACACAACACACACACACACACACACACACACACACACACCACACACACACCACACCACACACACCACACACACACACACACACCACGCACGCACTCGCTCTCATACATAAAATAATATACCCACATATATATCTATCCATCCATCCATCTATCCATCCATCCATCCATCCATACATCCATCCATTTATCTATCTATCTATCCATCCATCTATCCATCCATCCATCCATCCATCTATACATCCATCCATCTATCTATCTATCTATCTATCTATCCATCCATCTATCTATCTATCTATCTATCTATCTATCCATCCATCCATCCATCCATTGCCCTGGAAAGAAGAGACAAACAGGAAACAAACAAATAAATAAAAAATGAACTATTCCTATAATATGGGCTTGTCTGATTTTTTTCTATGATTATCATTGGTGTTTCCATGATTCTCACTATAATCTTAATTTCATCATCTTAATTTCATACTATTATTACTATCCTCATTAGTAATATTATTTTCTTTATCATTATCATCCTTTGATGATTCTTTTCATTATCATATTTATAATTGCTATCGTTATCATTACTATGATTATTATCATTATTATTATCGTTATTATAACCATTTTTACTATCATCATTATCAGTATTATCATGATCATCGTCATTATCATCATTATTACTATCATCATCATTATCAGTATTATCATGACCATCATCATTATCATTACCATCTTTATTCATTACCATCATCAACATCATCCTCATCCTCGGAGGTCACACTCACTTCTCGAAGTAGTTGTCGCTGCGCCTGTTGGGGTAGAGGACGATGAGGGCCAGGTAGAGGGCGCCCAGGATGAGCGGCCACCCGAAGAAGAGGGCGAAGGCGAGCGAGGTGGCCACCGAGTCCGAGGAGAGGCCGAAGAGGTTGCCGAAGAGGGGCAGCTGGGGGACGTTGAGGGCGAGGGAGCGGGCGGCGACCTGCTGGAGCTCCGTCGTGTTGGTGCTGTGGTGGGGGAGAGGGAGGGGGGAGTTATTGTGATCGCCGTCAGGGTATAGGGGGTCTTGGGGTCTTTGTGTGTGTGATCCAGTGTGATGAAGGAATAGAGGTGTTCGTACGTTTTGACAATTTCATCGTTTATATTCATTCAGTCTTACAACGGACCAAAAGCAGAGGAACTCACTTGTGTATGTAGGTCTTGAAGCTAGTCGTCAGCTGATCAATACTCTTCAGGAGCGCCTCGTCCTCCATGCGAGTGGCAGGCGCCTTCGGGACGTCCCCTGCTCCTTCCCGTCCCTCGGCCTTCTCCGCGTCCCGCAGCCGCCTCCTTAACTCCTTTTTCCTCCCCACTCGCCGTCTGTTCCTCACGTGCCACTGGCTCTTCTCGCAGCTTCTGGGAATCGCCGGCTCCTTCGGGCTGGTTCCGGGAACCGAGAGCGACCCGAGGGGCCCGAGGCAGCGCTCCCGGACCTTCGTCGACGCCAAGCACAAGCGGGACGTGAGCTGGAAGGCAGAGCGAGGGGCGTGCAGTGGGAAGTCGTGTGTGGAAATCTCTTAGGATAATTAATATTTTGATATTCAGTTCATGCTGCATTTCTTACAGTGTGCAGTAAAGTTGGGTCTCGAGTTTGTAATAAGCCGGGGAACATTTTGTTGGTTTTTGCGGCGCTGTTTGTTAGTCGTGTTTTGTTTTGCGGCTTCATGAACACGGAACTAATTACGATGTCAATATTGCGACGCGGAAAGTATTTTATTGCAGATAGTTATTACTGAATACTTTGTGATTGTTGCAAGAAGGTTTCGTAACACAACAGGATTCGTTATAATGGCAGTGTCCTGTTCTAGTCACTCCATATACAGAAAGGAACAAATAAAGAGAGAGGGAGAGGAAGGGAGGGAAGGAAGGACAGGGATACTGAGGAAGGAAGGAAGGAAGAAAGGAGAGAAGGAAGGGAGAGAGTGATAGATATAGAAATTAAAAGAAAAGAGGGAGAGGGTTAAAGAAAGATAGGAGAGTGGGAAGAGACAAGAGGGGGGAGGGGAGGAAACAAGCAAGTGAGAAAAGAGAAAGAGACAAAGAAAGGAGATAAAAGATAAAGAGAAAGCGGAAGAAAGGAGAAAGGTAAAAAAAAGAAATTGGAAGAAAAGGAGCAAGAACAAATAAACACAAAAAACAAAAAAAGACAGAAATAGAATTGACAAAGAAACAGATATAGAATGAATAAAGAAATTGTGCAGAAATGTAGACAGTAAGTAGGCCTATATATTAGGTCTACACCACGATAGGTCAAGATAGAGACAAACCAACCTTTTGTTCTAGAAAAAATACAAAGGTATTTTGACCTTCACCTATGCAATAAAAGATATATTCACATGCCAATAAAATACTTATCAAAATCATGATGATTAATTAATAATAATGCTATAGTGTTTCCATGAGAACATCATATCAACTATTTCAACCGTAATTTTTATCAAATGCTAAATCTAAAATATGGTAAAGTGATTTCAACAAAATGATGTATGGAGTCTATTTGTTGCCCAAACAGGTCAAAGTATATTGGAGATTATATCTGTGCTTTGAACATATACGTGTTTTCCGGCGTTCAATAGAATGTTTTTTTGATAGAGGAAATTCCCTGTATAAATTCAAAATATAAAACGTTATATCCATAGAGAATGGTTTTTTCGATAAGAGGAAAATTCCCTATGTATAAATTCAAAATTAACGCAAAACGTATGACGGATGAATATAGTAAATATGTATCCTCGTCGCTATGTGACTGTACTGAAGCCAGAGACTAATGGTGCGACTAGACTACGGAGAGTAGATTAAAGGGAGAGAGGAGCGCATATGATGACCATAGGTGATGAATCCAAATGATTGGTCACATCATTTTAGACAGTAGACTCGGCGTTCAATATTCGATAAGATCAAGTCGACTTATCCCGGCGCGCACGGTACCTAATTTGTCGGAAAAGATGTATGAGAACGAATTAGGACACAGAAGATAACTGAAGCTGAATATTCGTAACGCTACATAATATTCATTAAGGAAAGTAGATTATCACAATTCTATTATTACAGAGAGTCTCGCGCCTAGGACGTAGGGAGATGTCGAGTGCCGAGCGTTTCGATGTGATGGAGGTGTTATTCGTGGTTAGACGATTGTCACCATTATGATCTAAAATTCCTTATATCGGAGTTCACGTTAATAATATACGTGTGATAGCGAGTTATACAGAGATTCTATGAATACTAGATAAGTACGAGAGTCCGAAATTAGTGACGTAGAATATATTATAGATAAATTCGTCAACGTGGATTACTAATCAGGTTTATACCATAATATTTTTGAGTCGTATATCAATTATGACACGTGAGAGTTCAGTGTGAAATAATTATTCACTATAACTAATCATCATTTCAGACCATCAAAAGATATTAATATTTTTCATATTATACTATAAATATATCATTTATATTATTATATATTAATATACTATATACTAATATATTCAGAATAGATCACTATCATTATTAATGTACATAATATTGATCACATAAATACTATCTTAATAATACTTAATAGATAGTCTATAAAATACACATTATATATAGGTAAAATGATTTACAAAAAACCACTTATTAACTATCAATAATGAGCTATTAGTAGTATTCTATTATGGTTTGTGTTCTAATGTGAGAATAACAATATATATATATATAATATATATATTTATATTGCCTGTATCAGATACTCGCTATATCCAAGGTCGTATGGATTAATGACCGCCAGCGTAATCACTATCAATACCGAATGATATAATAAGTCCTGTTGTATTTAATAATGCAGGTGAATCCATGTTCCTATTACCGAATAGCCCATTCTTCATAATTCAACTTCAAGTTGTTTTGCAACGCCGCGCACACATACACACAACACGCGCACACACATCGATACATCAAAACTAACACGCCCCAAAACAATCCACATCATATCACACAAAACATTCAGCACAAATCTTACTCACACACATACATCACAACACACAAATATGTATACACACATTACATCACACTTACACACAGTCTTCTCATATATATACACACATAATACAACACAGACACACACACACACACACACTACGCAAAACACCAGCACAATTTACAGTATAACACATACACAATGTTAGATGAGTGTGGGTATGTGTTCGTATGTCGTAGCGTGTGCATGTGTGATCATACGTATGTGTTTAGCCGTGCATAAGTGCATGGGAAGCCTCAAGAGATTTATTGACTTGAATTACTCGAAGAGGCCACGCATATGCAGGTCGAGAGAGCGCCTGCAATTGCATTACATATTCGGCATCAATCTGGAGGGAAATGCTGTTCACT